ACTCAATTTGCACTATTTCTAGCAGTCTGCAAAGGCCCAAAGTGTCTCCTAAAGGATTTCTGCTGGTGTTAATGTTTTTCTTTCTTTAAAAATAACTAGAAATATCTCACACAGAAAGATCTGGATGGTATTTTATTTAATTTATATGCTTTCATACAAAGTTGGAGCCATCCAGACGGCTACTTTAGGCACACTGACAGCTCTGACCTACTCAGTAGCATTTTTTAACCTTAGACAGCAGATTCCTGTTCCAGATTATAAACTTCTTTTGAAAAGTCCCTCAGTTTCAAACTTGATTTCCCAGGTAGCCTGAGAGATTGCATTTTGAGAGACATCTTTCTTTTTTTTAGTATAAGGGATTAATTTGTGTGGGGTCTTTGGCTCCCTTCTGTACTATTAATACTTGGATAAAAGCAAAAAGTAGTCCACAAAAGCAGTGGGTTGGCAGTTCAAAGACTTCCTTTAGCAATGGGTCATTCAAATGACAATTGATTATTCACTGTATCAGATTTTATTGTATTGCATTGCATTGCATTGTAATTATTTGTTGATTATCAATAATGTTATGTTTTTATATACTGTATTTTTGTATATTGTTGTACATTTTATTGTGTAATCCCACCTCGATCCCTAGGGACAGGCGGGAAATATAAATAAAAACTATTATTATTATTATTATTATTATTATTATTATTAATTGTTCAAGATGTGATGATGCAGGGGTTCATCTAAGGCAAATAGTTCTCTTGGTGTTGGTAATAAGGATATTGTTTCCTTTCTAAATGTAGCATTTTTCATGCTTCTCTAAAGAGAGGTACTGTATTCTAAGCTTGCATTGTCTAGCAAGAATGATCTAAAAACAAAACCATGCAATTTCTACCCCTAGTTGACCAAAGATTTCCTGCTCCCTTAAGGGCTTGAGAGACTTTAGCCTTTGTTGTTGCTGTTGTTTACTTTGGACCACAAGATCCACCTTCAGAAGCCAGCTGCAAAACAGGGGTTGTACTCCAAACACTAACTTTTCCTAGTTCCAGTAAGTTGGGAAAACATACATATCACCATCCTTTATCTGTATTATTATTATTATTATTATTATTACAGTTTATTTATATAGCACTGTAGATTTACACAGCACTGTACATACGGTCAATAAAACAGATAAAAATAGATAACAAAGCCTGTCGATGGTGTACATTCTACAGAATAATAAAATAATACATATTAATACAAAGGAGGCAACAAATTAAAAA